GCTCATGCTGTCCTTCCCCATGTCCTCCTTCCTCGAAATCACCCCTAAAACCCAGGGACCTCATTCCGCAGGCCTTCTCCTCCCCCCTCCCCGATAGACCTTCAGACACAGGTGTCCCGCCCTGTACTGAATGCCAAGAAGAAACTGAACAATAAAACCTTGCTACGACCCCTCCCCCATATCGCCCTTAGACCTTTCCTTTAGGTTCTGCAGTCACCCCTGTGCATCATGCCTATGGAAACCCATGGACGACCTCCCTTCTTTGGGTCATCATCTCTGAAGGCTCCTGTATCATGCCAAACTTGAATGAACTATATTTCCCTTTTGTTAATCAGCCTTTGGTCAAGGAGCCCTGATTTTCCTTGAACCTTGTGATGGGAGAAGAAGTTACTTTTTGTCTGCTGCACTCTCTTTAGGTGAACTGATGCAAACAGTTTTTCATAGTCAGAACTCTAGGTCCCTGAAACTTAGCTCAGTTCTTTTTACACCTCCCCAAACAGGTCACAACCCTGCACAACCCTCAGGCTCTTGATCCTCTGTCCCTGGTAAGTCCAATCCTGACATTGTCACATACAGAGTTTATGACTTTAGCTTTATTAGCTTATGTTAGATGCTAAATCTATACCAAAAGTCAAAAATAAAAAAGGAAAGAAGGAAGGAAGGAAGGAAGGAAGGAAGGAAGGAAGGAAGGAAGGAAGGAAGGAAGGAAGGAAGGAAAACAAAAAGAAAGGAAATGCAAAAAGAAAAAATGTTCTTTTGTAGTCTTATGATCTGTTCTCCTAAACTATAACATTTTTCCCTCCTCCAAGCAATTTTTGGGATTCTCTTGGGGGGATAAAGCTGTCTCTGGAAGAGGAGGTTTTATAACCTTTACAATTGCATTCTCATTTATTATATTAGTGGTATCAAAGGCACCAGCAATCAGAATATGAATAGCATTTCCAGAGTAGATTCACTGTCTACAAACATGATTTCTATTGGTCCCATAAAGAATGGCTGTGATTGGCAACATGAAAAAGTTTTAAAATGTCATCTATGTCAGAAATTTATCTTTCTCTTCTTTGATGATAACACTCTCATTTTGACTACCTAATTTATCCCCATCAAGTTTTCCCAATCCAGAAACAAAGATTCTTATTCATTGCATTTCCTTGCTCCAACAAATGACACCTGACGTACTGTATACTCACTTCTTGGATGGTAGAGACTACCTCAGCCAGCCCAACTTTCAGAGGAGGTAGAAGCTGAGGTTTCACCTAGGGTCTTCAGCATCTTGTTCAAGATTTCTTTTTTTTTTTTAACTTTTATTTAATGAATATAAATTTCCAAAGTACGAATTATGGATTACAATGGCTTCCCCCCCATACCGTCCCTCCCACCCACAACCCTCCCCTTTCCCACTCCCTCTCCCCTTCCATTCACATCAAGATTCATTTTCGATTATCTTAATATACAGAAGATCAGCTTAGTATATATTAAGTAAGGATTTCAACAGTTTGCTCCCACACAGAAACATAAAGTGAAAAATAATAGATGATTTTTTTTAAATGATGATGAAATCAGATCAGACCTATTGTCATGTTTAATCCCAGTGAGAGTCAAGTTGGGAGTTGATAGTTTTTGTTTTTTTTTTTTTTTTACAGAGGATCAGTTTAGTATATATTAAGTAAAGATTTCAACAGTTTGCACCCCCATAGAAACACAAAGTGAAATATATTGTTTGAGTACTCGTTATAGCATTAAATCTCAATGCACAGCACATTAAGGACAGAGATCCTACATGAGGAGTAAGTGCACAGTGACTCCTGTTGTTGACTTTACCAATTGACACTCCTGTCTATGGCATCAGTAATCTCCCTATGCTCCAGCCATGAGTTTCCAAGGCTATGGAAGCCCTCTGAGTTCTCCGATTCTTATCTTGTTTAGACAAGGTCATAGTCAAAGTGGAGGTTCTCTCCTCCCTTCAGAGAAAGGTACCTCCTTCTTTGAAGACCTGTTCTTTCCACTGGGATCTCACTCACAGAGATCTTTTGCCAGAGTGTCTTGGCTTTCCATGCCTGAAATACTCTCATGGGCTTTTCAGCCAGATCCGAATGCCTTTAGGGCTGATTCTGAGGCCAGGGTGCTATTTAGGACATCTGCCATTCTATGAGTCTGCTGAGTATCTCACTTCCCATGTTGGATCACTCTCCCCTTTATTTATTCTATTGGTTAGTGTTAGCAGGTACTAGACTTGCTTATGTGCTCCCTTTGACTCTTAGTCCTTTCATTATGATCAATTGTGAACTGAAATTGATCACTTGGACTAGTGAGATGGCATTGGTACATGCCACCTTGATGGGATTAAATTGGAGTCCCCTGGTATGTTTCTAACTCTACCATTTGGGGCAAGTCAGCTTGAGCATGTCCCAAATTATATATCTCTTCCCTCTCTTATTCCTACTCTTATGTTTAACAGGGATCACATTTTTCAAAAGAGGAAATCCAAATGGCCAACAGGCACATGAAAAAATGTTCAAGGTCATTAGCAATCAGGGAAATGCAAATCAAAACCACAATGAGGTTCCACCTCACCCCGGTTAGAATGGCTCACATTCAGAAATCTACCAACAACAGATGCTGGCGAGGATGTGGGGAAAAAGGGACACTAACCCACTGTTGGTGGGAATGCAAACTGGTCAAGCCACTATGGAAGTCAGTCTGGAGATCCCTCAGAAACCTGAAGATAACCCTACCGTTCGACCCAGCCATCCCACTCCTTGGAATTTACCCAAAGGAATTTAAATTGGCAAACAAAAAAGCGGTCTGCAGCCTAATGTTTATTGCAGCACAATTCACAATAGCTAAGACCTGGAACCAACCTAAATGCCCATCAACGGTAGACTGGATAAAGAAATTATGGGATATGTACTCTTTAGAATACTATACCGCAGTAAGAAACAACGAAATCCAGTCATTTGCAACAAAATGGAGGAATCTGGAACACATCATGCTGAGTGAAATAAGCCAGTCCCAAAGGGACAAATACCATATGTTCTCCCTGATCGGTGACAACTGACTGAACACCAAAAAGGAAACCTGTTGAAGTGGAATGGACACTATGGGAAACGGTGACTTGATCAGCATAGCCCTGACTGTTAATGAACAACTTAATACATTATCCCTCTTAGTAGTTTTTTTGTCTGTTCTACTTAATATGACTGGTTTAATTCTGTAATTAATACACAGTTATTCTTAAGTGTTGAAATTGTTCAAGATTTCTAACACCTAGTGGCCAGCAATGTGGCACAGTAGGTTGCAATGCCAGCATCCCATATTGCAGTGCTGGTTCCAGTCCCAGTTGCTCAGCTTCTGATCCAGCTTCCTGCTAACATTCCTGGGAAGGCATCAGATAGTGGCCCATATGCCCCCCCATGTGAGTTACCAGGATGAAGTTCCTGCCTCTTGGCTTCAGCTTGGCTCAGCCCTAGTCATTGTGGTCATTTGGGGAATGAACAAGTAGATGGAAGATCTCTTTCTCTCTCTCTCTCTCTCTCTCTCTCTCTCTCTCTCTCTCTCTCTCTCTCCCTTACTCCCTTCCCCCTGCCCCTCCTTCTCTCTTTTCCTCTGCCTTTCAAATTAATAACTAAATAAATCTTTAAAAATATTTTTAATATCTGACTTGTTATCCTGGATCTCCTTGATTTTACTGAATCTTTTTTTTTAATCAGGGCTAATTTTTATCTAGACTGTGTAATAACAAAAAGCTTCTGCTGGATCGGATACGTCACAGCCCACAGCCCTCAGGTCATGAGGAGAGCAATGCCAATAGTTAAAATTGTTAGCACTGCAGGCTGATTAAAAACAGATGCGATTAGAAGCCACATTCTCGCCAAGGGAATCCGTCTGCAGAGGGCAGCTGGTTGAAAGTCTGGGCAGCTCTGAACTGGGTCTGACTCATGGTTATCATGGTTACTCGCTTCACTAATGTGAGTCTCAGTTTCTGTAGAAAAAATAAAGGGAATTTCTGCATTTCCCTTCAAATCTTAGAAACTATGAAGTATCCTGGATATAAGTAGAAATGAGAACTAACTCACAAAACAAATTTATTACTAATTTGGGTATGACAAATATTTGCTCCTGCATGCAAATCCAAGATTTCGGGGCAGGTCTCAACTTGATGAGCCTTCCTCACACTAAAATGCAAACCATTAACCTCTGGAAAAGCAGCTGAATGAGCTAAGTCAGAAAGCTGGAGGGGATGAATGGCACTGAAACAGGTACAAATGAGATAAATTTCAAAAGCTACGAGTGGATTTAAAGCGAAGAAGGAGGAGGAGTAAGAGAATGAAGAGAAGCAGGTGAAGAGAACAAGAAGGAAGAAGGAGGGAGGGAAAGAAGGAAGGAAAGACGGCAGGCGGGAAGGGAGAGAGGGAGGGGAGAGAAAATCCCAGGCAGTGTGAGAGATCACCTCTTGTCACTAGCAGAGCTCCCCAAGCAGTGCCCCCTGTGTAGATGCAGCACTGGGAGTGGTTGTAATGGGGAAACTGACTTCCATCAAAGAGAAATGGAGACTCGTTCATTGTAGGTGGCTTCAGAAGGTGTTGCCCAAAGTGAGAGCCAAGCTTACAGGAGACACTTTTTAAAAAAATTAGTTAATTTATTTGAAAGTCAGAGCTACACAGAAAGAGGAGATGTCTTCCATCCGATGGTTCACTCCCCAATTGGCCGCAAAAGCCAGGAGCCTCTTCCAGGTCTCCCATGTGGGTGCAGGGGCCCAAGGACTTGGACCACCTTCCACCACTTTCCCAGGTCACAGCAGAGAGCTGGATGGGAAGTGAGCAGCCAGGTCTCGAACCAGCACCCACATGGGAATGCAAACGCTTCAGGCCAGAGTGTTAACGCACTGCGCCACAGTGCTGGCAGGCCCCAACACTTTGTTTTTAAATGTTTTCATTTTCTGAGTTTTCAAACACTCATTTCACCCTGATCTAATGAGCTTCTCTAATCATTTCCCACAGCTGATTTGTAAAAGACATCTAAAGAGGGTGAAAGTAAATGAAGAAATTTGGGTCACCGCGCAAGCGTTAATGCTGTGACTGAGTCACCACGCTACAGAGGATGACTGTGGTTTGCACTCACAGCTCTCTGTGTATGAAAACACAGCTGCCAACTTCTTGAAGAACCAATTTTTAATTTGTTTACATTGAAAAGCAATTCTCAGGATGTAGTTTAAAGTCACAAAATAAAAGCCTCAAGTTAAAGGTAAGAAAGTTTATTAAAGCATGATACTGTTTTTCCCAAAATATATATATTAAATAATTTATGTAATACATGTTATATAAAACATATTTAATAATACAAATACATATCAATATTCATGTGTTTAATGTTTTGAAAATTAAATATGATTTAAAATTAATGTGATTTATTTGACTCGGAATAAAAAGCAAGTTCATTCACTTCTATGAAAATCTCTGGACTCTGAGTTACTCAGATGAAGCAAACGACGTGAACTCACACAGTGGGCAAACACTTATCTTATCTCTGAGTGTGTATTTTTTCAGGCGTGTAGATTTTCACATCTATTAAACTGTAAATCATCCCTTCCCTTTCTTTAAGATTCCACTGAGATTTTCCAGATGTGAGTAGGAAAAGAAGGATATCAGTAAAGAGATAGAAACAAATTTTATCACGTCCATCAGGAACTGTGAATGCAGTGGAAGGCTTTAGACATTGCAATGTTCATTTTCAGTGTTGATGTTTATTAACTGTGACTCAGTCTCAGGACTTTCTTCTTTTTATTATTTTCTTCCTTGCAGTGGAGCAAGTGAACTATGTATTTGCTCTTTGGCTTAGGGTCTGGGGACCTGTGAGATCTGCTTTTTCTCTCATTCCCTGGAAGGTTTCATTGTAATTCTAATGCTGAAAGCTTACCTGGGAACAAAAGTATGGGTCTCTCCACCAGGACTTCTTAAATCTGAATAGTATCTGAGATTCTAAGTCAAATCTGCTTGAGGTTTAGAGTCAGTTTCTCCACCTTCTCTTCTAGGAGTGTCAGCACAAAAATTAACATGAATAAATCTTACCGTGCTTTCCCATTATAAAAGCCATGAGGGTGCACTTATCTGACGAGAATCTTAGAAAAATTTTTGCCTATATAAGCCACCCACCAGAGAGCGGCCACGGACATCTTACTGTATTTCCTGTCATCTGTCTTGTGATTTCTCTTCTTTCCTTAAACACAATTTCATGTCCAAGCTACTGAGTAGTAAACCAAGCAATGGAAAACTTCAATGTAAGCAGAAGATTCAGAAATTCTATTCAGCAAAGCAAAGGAAATGAAAGTCAGATCTCATTCCTTCCTTCTGCCAGCATCCCTGTGCTTGTCCAGGAGTTTCTCCACAGCTGAGTGAGTGCGTGTATCCGCACTTGCTTTTACATGCATTTCCCAGCAAAGTGCTAACGAAATGAGATGGTGCTGCAGGTGCAATCCATCACCTGCTTTACTCACAGAACAGTAGCAGACATTTCTAAGAGAAGGATCAGAAACATGGCGGAGAAGTGCCATAAGGGTTTGGGTTTCCTGTGATCTCCACCAGCCAGAACAAAAACAAGATGCCTTCTGAGGAACCACCCCCTGGAGGGGAGCAGGACTTTGCAGGAGAGATTTCTGCATCCCTTTCAGGGCAGGGGCAGGCCAAGGCACTAACATGCGGGTGCACTCTGCTGAGTGATCAGCAAACAGCCTGGAAAGAATGAAAGAACGGAGCACTTGTCAGTTCTGATCAGGCTCCAAAATTCCTCTTCACTCTTGGGACACTGCTTTAGAATCTGGGGTGGGGCTGAAGAAGGTATGGAGGTGGGGGCTGGGTAGGGAGATGCAGAGATGACTGAAGCTGAGAAACCCAGACAGGTTCTCTCCAGGAAGATTGGAGAGGCCCCCACCTCCTGCAATTTGAGTGTGCTGAGCTTGTGTGTGTTTGCTTTTCCAGGCCTATACTGAAGTCCTGAAACCTGACCCTTCCAGAGCTGGCTTGTCTCAGGCCCAGCGGCCCCACACAGGGCAAGTGGCAGCTGTCTATTCATCCTGGACAAAGTGGGAATTGCAAAGAAAGACATGCATCCAGCTGTTTTGCAGGCACTTCTTCCCTCCAGCAGCCCAAACTGGAGAAGTACAGGAGACTTCAGAGAGAAGAGCACCTTTCCCAGTCCTGGGCAGGGCGTGCGTCTGAGCTGATGTGGGAGTGTGGCCATCAGCACCCGTGTGCAGGGACAGCTGCATCATGTCGCCTGCTCCCTCAGGCCATCTCCCAGGATTTCAGATGGATGCAAACTTGCACTTGGGCAGGCTCAATGCAGAAGCAGGCAGCCCCTGGGCTGCTATGAATTTACATCCAGGGCCATGATTTTCTTCCAGTATTTAGGAGCACCTTCATAAACATGTCTCTAAGGCACAACTTATAGTAGCAAAACACAAAACAGAACAAAAAGGAGTATTTTTGTGTAGAAGAATAAAAGCAAATACATAGAGGCTTAGTGATTCATTAAATAGAGTTTGCCACTGCTTGACAGTTTTCAATGACGTTGATGCTTTCTTTTTTTAAGACACATTTATTCAATGTCATGAGCAAACTATCCATCAATGTCATGAGTGCAAAAAATTGTATGAAAACCCTTGTTGGAATGCTTTAGACTTTGTAAAGAACAGAAACAAAATAACTGGTTACACAATTAGTCACCAATGGAGTTCTTGAGTTTCTTTTGCCCACACACACAAGCAATGTGTAAAACAGGTCTTCTTTCTGGCAGCTGGGCCCTGACGCTGCTATGCTTGGATGAACTCACAAATCTGGTACAGCCTCTCCCTTCCCTGTCAATTCCCTGGCCTCCTCCACTGCTAAGCTTTGTTCCCTGGTGGTTATTAAAAGTTTCTGCCAACCAAGATGGCACTAGAGATAAAGGAGGAAGCTCCTAACTTTCTAAAATCCAAACCCAAAGCAAAAGATTTGAAGGTCAGGAAGGCTGTGCAGAAAGACAGCTATTAAAAAATTCTGTACATCACCCAAAATCTGGTAACTCACAACACTACTCCTCTGATGGTGGTCAAGCATCCTTGGGAAGCACCCCCCAGGAGAAACAAGCTTGACCACCAGGCCATTATCAAGTTCACCACTGAGTCTGCCATGAAGATAGAGGACAGCATCACACTCCTGTCCATATTTGGTGTCAAGGCCATCAAACTCCAAATCAAACAAGCTGTGAAGAAACTCTGTGACATTGCTGTAGCCAAAGTCAATAGCCTGATCAGGCCTGATGGAGAGAAGATGGTATGTGTTCCAACTGGCTCCCGATTACGGTGCTTTGGATGTCACCAACAAAGCTGGGGTCGTCTCCACTGAGTCCAGCTGGCTAGTTCTAACAAATTTTTCTCGCCACCGCCATAACCACTGCTGCTGTCAGAAGTGCCACAGCCACCATGATTTCAAGGTTTGGCAAAATATTGATTGCCATCTCTATAGAGGCCAGAGCTTCCATTTCCAAAGTTCACACACACAAGCATTTGAAAACTGACTGCTATAATTTTCAGTATCATTGTGTCTTCCACCATCTCTATAACTGCTTCCATCATTGCCAAATCCATGGTAACCATTCCCACCGCCACCATACCCACCACCCCCTCGACTGCCACCAGAGCCACCATGACCACTGAAGTTCCTCGATGACCAGATTTGTCACTGCCACCAAAACCACCTCCATGATCATCACCACCATTTCCAGAATGACCGTGAGCTCTTGTGGTATATGAAGCACTGGCCATCTCCTGCTTCCACGGGGCCTACCTCACTCCACAATTGTGACCACTCACCGGACGGTGTTTCTGAGGGACAGTCTTATCCAGAGTCGTGTTCATCAACAGTCACAAAGGCAAAGTGCCTCTTCTTCCCATGGGCATGGTCAGTCATTATCTCAGCCACTTTGATTTTCCCACACTGCAAATTCATCTCTGAGCTGATGTCCTTCAGTGTCCTCTTCAACACCACCCTGACAGTCTTTCCATAGTTAGGTGGGCCCCTGGGCTTTGAGAATCTTCCTTTGGGACAGCACCTGTGACTCCACCTCTCTTCCATCCACCATATGGCCTTGCCTCCTTGATGGCATCCACCTCCTCCATGATTAGGTAGTTGGCAACGCAAAGTCCCTGGAGCACTTGGTGTTTGGCTCCCTCATCTCTGCACAGTCTGTGAGTCTTCTGCTGCCTCAGAGTGGCTCCTCCGACTCTCCTCTGGGTCTCAAATCTCAGTTCTCTGAGTAAGAGATTCCACAGCTGTCAGACTCTTCAGGAGGCTCTGATGTAGACCTGATGGTGGTGAGAAGAGAGCCTTTGATGATGCACCCTCAGTGGAGGTCACAGGTAGAAGCGTGTCCTGATCCCAGCATGGTGATGTTAAAACACACACATCCATAGTAAATCATCTACTAGCACTGAACTTATGGATGCATGATACATCATAAACAGTGTTATAGTATCCAAAATATTATAAATTAGTTCAAGAAAGAAGTATTTCTAAAGAAGGACATATGACAAAATCTGTGTTATTATTTTTTGTGGTTTTTATCATTATTCTGCTAATTCAGAGGCACCAGGGGCTTTACCAAGGCCATAGAAAAGCAAAATTAGAACATAGGTTTAGGGACGAGTATTTGGCTTAGTAGTTAAGATGCTGCCTTGGCTGTCTATGTTCCAAATCAGAGTGCCTCGGTGAGATCCACTGCTGATTCCAGCTTTCTGCTTACGTGCACCCTGGGAGGCAGTCATGACAGGACAAATACTTGTGTCTCTGCCACCCATGTGGGATACCCAGATAGAATTCCAGGCTCTTGACTTTGGCTTCACCCAGACCTGGTTGTTGCAGATATTTGAGGAGTGAACCAGCAGACGGGAATGCTTTCTCTCTGTCTTTCAAATACTAATAAAAGCATAAACTTATTTTGGTGAAAAAAAAGTGAATATGTAGAGTTTTTTTAATGCACACTTCCCATGAACTTTTTTAAGGTTCTAAATAGTTTCTTTGTTTTCCAAAGAGAAAAGGAACATTAGAACTTTTAAAGGTAATAAATATTAATATCTAACTCAATCAGCATCATTTTCCAACCTTTAATATTCATTTTTACAAAAAGATTTTTTTATGATTTATTTTATTTATTTGAAAGACAGAGTTAAAGAGAGTTAGAGCCAGAGAGAGAGGTCTTCCATCCATTGGTTCACTCCTCAAATGGCAGCAATGCCAGAGCTCTGCTGATCCAAAGCCAATGAGCAGGAACATCTTCCAGGTCTCCCACACAGGTGCAGGGGCCCAAGCACTTGGACCATCTTCCACTGCCTCCCCAGGCTATAGCAGAGAGCTGGATTGGAAGTGGCGTAGCCGGGACTAGAACCAGAGCCCATATAGGATGCTGGCACTGCAGGCCAGGGCTTTAACCGCTGCACCACAGCTCCAGCCCGTGTTATTCTTACATTTAACATTTCTAACCTCTTGTGAGGATTTTTATTTTAAAAGAGAAATTTAAATTTCACAGCAAAGTAGTCAAATAATTCAATTATCTGCTACTTTTTTGTTCTAAATATGACATGCATTTCTGCCCTCAAGCACATGAAACTGCTATAGATTAAAGTTTAGATAGATAGATGGATAGATAGACAAACATACAGACATGTAGTGTTGATGCAGATAGATAGGTAAAGTTATGCTTCTGCATTGTTATACATGGATATGCAGTGTAGCATATATGTATCTATTGAGAGAGGGACACACACACACACACACACACACACAGACCTACTGCATTCATCTACCCAGGAACTGAGTCCATGATGCCCTCTGGTATTTCTTACTCCTGTGGCCCTCAGGAGCATGGAACATCACACATAGCACCCTGCACATTTTCTTCCACCACTCAGTCTTTCAAGCACACATGTCATTGGAGAGCACCGCGGCAGAGCCTTTTAACACTGTACCGGTAAACGTCCTGATACAGAAGGCAGCATTCTTTGTCTGTCACCCAAGATGTCCTGAATCTATAAAACATGACGTATGCCCATCTTTTCCTAGGCCAGAAATATCCCAGATGCTGCTGTCTGATGCCACAGTCCTCTCTCCCATCAGGTGCATAAAGATTTATAAAGGAGGTTCTCCAGGTGCCACAGTGGAAAACCACACAGGTTTTCCCAATTTGCTGTCACCTGCAGAATAAGGATCCCAATGCAGGGCCCACGCTTAAATTGTCTTGGAAAGCTACATCTTTTTAAAACCTACTCTGATTCTCCTACTTCGAGATGGCTCTTGCTGCACATAGTATAAAATCTAAACATCCCAGCCAGCAGTGTTAAGTCCTTTCAAAATATTCTAAATAGAGACTATTTCAACTGCTGTTTCTTGCTACTTCCCAAAGGTAACTTTATTTTATCCAAGCAGGGCAAGATGAAATCCCTTAAAAACATCCCTTTTCCAGTTCTCTCTATTCTTGACCTCAACCGCATTCCCCCACGTTTCCAAGCCACTGTCCCCAGTTCATACCTAAGCAGGTGTATCTCACTTCCCTTTGCTCTCTGCAGGTTTCCTTCAACTCAACCTATAGGAACTTCTCCATGTCAGCATCAGTGTATCAGTGTGGAGTACTGGCCTGCTGTCATGACCTGAACAGTGTCCAGGATGTGACTTCCTCCAGCCAACTCTGCAGGGTCCTCTCTCACAACCATGACGGTGATGACAGCAGTCATCATTATCATAAGAATGAGTGTGTCTGCTAGAACACAGTTCATACAGAACCATGAGTCTTATGTAATCCTCACCACAGCCTCACGAGGCTGCTGTATTCCCAGATTGGAGGGATGGTGACACTCAATCTGAGAAAGGTTAAATAATGTGTCAGAACTGTTATTTCGAAGGGGTGAGATTCAATTTCAGGTCTTTCTGATTCCAAAGGTCATGATCTTCCTTCTGTGCAAAGATCTGTGTTAAATAATGAGAGACCTTCCAAAGGAAAAGCTACATGATGCCTGGACTCAAGTGGTTAACAATCTAATTGAGACAGAGATAACACATTTGTCTGGCAGGAAACCAAATCAGGCAGGAGGTTTTCCCCATGGAGGACTGGCCTTGTGTTGTCTCAAATGCAGGAAAAACCAGGACTTTTGCTTTGAAAATGGGGGATAAAGCAGCATAGTGGGTGTTACATCTGGTTGCCCTATCACACACAAGTTAGTTTATAAAACAGAATACATACTGCCTAATGTGCCTACCTGAGATTGTGGGATCAAACGACACTAAGCATGTAAACCACGAAGGTGTTTATATTTAAACACATTCTATGGAAACACATAAACATACATTAAATAGTCTATATACTGCCCTATATCTTAGAGAAGGCCAAAAAATAAAAACATACATATAAACACTAAAATAAATAAGTGTCATGGTGAGTTCTGGTATGGCAAATGCCCCATCACTGCTCCAATTGTCCTCTTCTGCAACGTCTTCACCCCTGTCCTTTCTTCTGCCCCGTCTCTATTTCTTCCCCCACCTCCATATGGCCATCTGTGTTTTGGTGCAGCTTTGTCCCATACATATCCTCTGCATGAGTCCCCCTTCAGCCTTCTGAGCACTGATGAAGCACTAATCACTTTGCTTTGTCCAAGGCCACCATGCACTGTGAACACAAGCCATTCCACCAGCTTTTGGGGTCACCTCAGTCATGTGTGTCCCAGTTCCTTTACTCAACTGTCCACTTCTCTATCAGAGATTGACTCCATGTTGGTAGCACTTTACACATCAAATCCCACCCGCTCTACTCTCAATAGGAATCTTCAGCTTCCGCTTGCTGGAACTGTTCAACACAATGCCCAATGAGTTCCTTCAGTTTCTCCCTTTCTTCCTCAATTTTGATCTTCCACCAAGACCTTGCGCCACCTCCCCCCATAAGGAGGAAATGTACCTTTTGCTGACAACACCACAGCCTCTGGCAAAACTCCCACCACTTATTTATTGTATATTATTCTCCTACATTTTCCAGTTCAGACCCATGGTCACCCTGTTCTTTGGTTTTGTCACATTGGCGTCATTTTATCCTAAGAAGTAAAAATGAAATGTAGTTTCCAAATGGCAATACCACTACCTCAAAATACCATCTCAGGTTTTATCTCTGTTTATTGTAAAATCTGTGCAAGCATTTACTAAATCTCTTTAAGCAACTTTTCTGCCCTACCACCTCATTGGCCAGGTCCTTAGAGATAGGGTTGTGTTACACAAGTCTTTTCAAGTGAACAGCACTGCGTGCCCCTGTTACTGAGGAAGAATGGTAACCTGGGCATTAGGAAACCACAAGAAGTTCCTATCACACCATTTAACCACCGACAGTCACTCCATTATTGGAGGTCCAAGTGGAGAAGTGCAGTTGGAAATTACATGTACTGGCCTCAAGTTCAGGAAAGAGGACTGGGCTAGAGGGTAAATGTGAGACTCACCACAGAGCTGATGTTTAGACCTTTCAGGCTTGATGAGATTTCCTAGACAGGAATGTAGGAAGAGGCAAGGGAAAAACCTCAGACCCAAACCCCATCCTTTTAGACATTTGGATGCAGAAAAACATGAGGAGAAATGAAAACACGGAAGTCTGGAGAGATTTGCCCAGGGACCAATAAGGAAAATCAGGGTTGTGTGGTGCTCTGGAAGTCAGGTGGAGAAAGTGCCTTAGAGAAGAGCAAACACTGAATGGTGTCAAACGCAGCTAATAGAACAAATAAGATAAATTCAGGAGCTGATCACTAGATTTAGCAAGAACAAGGATATTGATGACTTCAAGAACTATTTCCTTATTGTGATGAAGGCAAGAATCTGATGTCATTAATTCCAGCCCAAATGGGATGAGAGAAATTAAACACAGAGGATACATGCAACATCTGAGATTTTTGTTGCAAAGAGTGAAAAAATAAATGGACTGGTAGCTGGAAGGGATGTGGAGATGACCACATGGATAACATTGTTTTAGATGAGAGAAGTTACAGCATGTTGACACATAGCTGGGGTAATAGAGGAGAGAATGAGAAATTAATGACTTTATAAATATGTAATGATATCCATGAATGAACCAAAGAAAGGGGATCTCATTCCAATGGAAACTATTCTAGGTAGGAACATGAAGAAGTCCCTTATGAGAACAGGAGTTAAGGCAACTGTGCACTTTCATTGAGGTGTGTTGTAAAGATCAGGAGCTCTCCTGTGATTGCTTTCATTTTTCTCAAGCATGTAGAAGGCAAGCCCATCAGCTAAGAATGGGGATAATGGAGGAAGGACTGGAGTTTGTTGTGAAAGAGGAATGAACTGCTCATCCTGGAAAGGCAAAAATCAGGAACCTGCAAGTGTTTCTGGGCAGCATTGAGATCCCAGTTGAAGATAATGGTCATGAATTTAAAGAAAGATAAATCAGCATAGTTATGGGTTTCTCTACATCCAAGTTCACTTCCTGAGCACAAGAAAAGGGTAGGTAGAGACTTGGATTTTACAAGGGTTTTCTTGAGTCACTCAGATGACAAGAGAAATGAGTGGGGGTGGGGCAGGGGTGTGATGTTGACCACTGACTCTAATCTGGAGAAGAGAGGAAGTGAGACCATGAGGGAGATGAAGGACAGACATAGCTTGGGAAGAGCTGGCTTTTTTTTCTGTTTTGTCAAAGATTGGTAGTTACCAGGAGCTTGGGTGGGAGTGCGTTATGGGCAAAAAGTGGGAAACTTTGGGCCGGTGCTGTGACACAGTGGGTTAACACCCTGGCCTGAAGCACTGGCATCCCATATAGGCACTGATTCTAGTCCCGGCTGCTCCTTTTCCGATCCAGCTCTCTGCTATAGCCTGGGATAGCAGTAGAAGATGGCCTAACTCCTTGGGCCCCTGCACCCACGTGGGAGACCTAGAAGAAGCTCATGGCTCCTGGCTTTGGATCGGCACAGCTCTGGCCATTGCGGCCATCTCTGAACCAGCAGTTGGAAGACCTCTCTCTGTCTCTACCTCTCTCTTTAACTCTGTCTTTCAAATAAAAATAAATAAATAAATAAATAATTTTAAAAAGATACAATTATTAAAAAAAAAACTAGGATACTTGAGAGTTACGATTAAGGAGCATTCCACATCTAAAACATGACCTAGACACTGAGAGTCTGAGACAAGAGGGAGGACAAGACAACTAGAGAAGAGGAGGCCAAATTACTAAAAGGCAGGGATTGGAAAGGGTTGACTCCATAGTTTGTGCAGTCAACAAAGAATTATGACAAAAGTAGTGCTGGGAACAGCTGGGATTTCCATCTTGTCACACCCGCATACTTCAGGGTTCCTAGTTCTCTTGCCCTTGGACTTCAAGACTTAACACCAAGGATCCTCCAAACGTATCCTAGTTCTCAGGCCTCTCACTCAGCCTGAATCATTCCAGCAGACTTCCTGGTTCTCTAGGTTGCAGACAGGAGAGAATGGGACTTCCTAGACTCCATCATGAAGTTAGCCATTTCCTATAATAAAACTTCTCTGTGTCTGCTAAATATCTATCTATCTATCTATCTATCTATCTATCTATCTATCATCTTTTATTCATCTCCCTACCTACTAACCATTGCTTCTGTTTCTCTGGCGAATCCTAATATAGTAGTTTAATTAGATTCTTTCTCTATTCTTTATTTATACTTATATTTAGACAGTGTTGAAAAAATGCAACCATACTGATTTGTTTCACTTTACATTTATGACCACCAACTTCAAATTACTCATTAACATACAGAGCAATGCTACTATGTTTTTCTAAATTGATGATGATCAAGTTTTATTCTGTTTCAAAATCATGTGGAATGGTTTATAAAATATAGACTGTTGGACACCACCACCAGATGTTCTTTTTGTTTCTAATAATAATTGATATTATTATTATTGTTTAAAGATTTTAGTTATTTATTTTCAAGGCAGAATTACAGAGAAAAAGAGGGAGAGGAGAGACAGAAAGAGAGATCTTCCATCCATGGTTCACTCCTCAAACGGCACCATGGCTGGGACTGGACCATGCAAAAGCCAGGAGCCTGGAATTCCATCCAGGTCTTCCACATGGATGCAGAGGCCCAAGTACTCAGGCTGTCTTACATCATTTTCTCAGGACATTAACAGGGAGCTGGATTGGAAGAAGAGGAGTCAGGACTAGAACCAGAGTTTTTATGGGATGATGAAACTGCAGGCAGTGGCTTAACCCTCTGTGCTCCAACACTGACCTCTCATCAGAGGTTCTGATTCAGTAGATCTGGAGTGGGTCCAAGAACACACATATCTAACAGATTCACAGATGATGCTGGTGAGACTAGCTCAGAGCCTGCACCTTGAGAACCACCAACCCAGGCCTTTCTCTATCTTACTCTCCTCAGCACCTGCTCTGAAGCCTCCAACACAGGTCCCCATTCTTGTTCTAAGTAGGTGATCTAGTTCCTACTTCGTAATTACTAACTAAAAGCAACATAACTCCTGGAAGAGAATGTCCGTTTCTCTGCCACCATATCTGCCAGCCTCTAGTCAACACCTGTATCCTAGTATCCCTTCATGGTGCTGCAGGTGGAGCACCGTGCAGCCACGCACACAAACCAGCGCCTTCTTTGTACGTTCCTGCCTCTTCTTGAAATACAAACTCACTGTACAGTGGTTCTCCCCTCTATGTCTCTGGCATCATCTATCTTCCCTCTGCCTATTCCCATCAAAACAGCAACACAGTATAATTTCTAAATCTATCTAAATACTGTCCCCCATTGATAGATAGATAGAGAGATCCATTTATATCGCCTTTCCAACTCATGTTTCTCTTCAACCACTATTCCATTCTCCATTGCTCTTCCTACTAAAACTCCACAAAATAACTTTCTATCCTTGATATCTTCAACTTGTCTACTATTCTCTCTTGTACTCTTTTTCATTAACTATTCAACCTCTTGGATTCACTGAAACTGGACATGCGTGGTTATCAATGACATCTTTACTGCTAAGCCCAAGTGGCAGCACACAGCAAGGTATTGGCAAGCCTTCTCACTGCTTCCGAAGGAACAAAACTCTCACTTCCTGGGTATCCGTATTCTGGCTTTTATTTTGCTTACTCATTTCTCTTTTTGTTAGTGACTCCTCTTCCTTAGTTCCAAATCTTTGGATCCCCTAAATCTTAGTTGTCACATCTCATCCCTCCTCTACCTATAACCCCTCTAACAGGCTGTATTCTGAGGTCATGACTTTGAATATCCCATGTTCACTGCTCACTTCTTGTCCTTAGTCTGCTTCTCCTGTCTGAACTCCAACTATCCATTGGATGCTTGCCCTTGGAATTCAGCTAGGCACTCTGCACTAAGCTTCTGTTCCCCTGCATGCTTTATGTCTACAAGTGATGTTATGGGGCTAATTTTGTTGCCCACATTCAGACATTGAAGTGTTTACCTGCAATTGCTCAGAATATGAATCATTTGGAATTAGGGGAATTGCAGATGCCGGAAGTTACGTTAAAATGAGAAGATGTAGAATGAGTACAATAGGCTTATAATCCAATGTTACCCTTGTCCTTATAAAAAGGGAAAAACTTGCCACAAGAGGCCTGCACATGGCGAGAATTCTATTCCACGAAGGCGGAGATCCAGGTGATGCCACTCTGAGCCAAGATAGGCCTGCAATTCTCAGTGAGCAACCAGAAGCCAGAGAAGCACGGTGGAGACCCTCACGCGGAGTCATCCTTCTAGAATAATGGAGCAACCTCTTGCCAGTCTACCTGCTGCTTCCCTGTTCCTCTGAGTGATTCTTGTTTTTCTTTCAATTTCTGTTTTGTTTCTTTTTATTTAAAGAAAAAGACACACAGAGAGAGAAACAGAGTTTCCATCTGTTCCTTCACTCCCCAAATGTCTGCAACAGCCAGAGCTGGACCAGGCTGAAGCTGGGAGTCCAGAGCGAAATACAGGTCTGGAACTCAATCCAGGAGCAGAATCCAATCCACATCTCCCACTTGGGTGGCAAGGAT